CAGCAGTGTCCAGCCAGCGTCTGCGCCCGCGCACACAGCGCGGGGCAGCGCCCAGTTCAGCCCGCAGTCAGTCAGTGCCTGCGCCCGTGCACCCAGCACGGGGCAGAGTCCATCCCAGCGCCCGCAGCAGCCAGCAGCGCCCGTGCACGCTGCGCGCTGCACGCGGCAAGCTGCTGGCCAAGCCCAGCCGATGACCGGTTCGGTCGGACCGCAGTCCGGTCCAGACCGCTGGACCGGTTCAGCTTCATTTTCACCCGGTTCAGCCCATTTTAGCCGGTTTACCATTTTAAGGATATTTTCAGTTAATTTCCGGGATTATTTCAGTTCAGAAAATTCATGACCAATCAGTTCAAGTTAAGTCAGTTCCGGTTATTCCGGATAAGTCTAAAAATCATATTAAGTTAAATAGAGCATCTTAACGAAAAATATCAGTTAAGTTAACAGTCTGAGCATAGTCAATAGTAATTGTTTATATTATTTCAGTTTGAGCAGGCATAAGCACTACCTTTTAGTTCAGCAGTTCAGGTGGGGACTCAGACTAAGTACTACATTGTTTATAATTACGCTACCATGTTCGAGGTATGTATATTCAGTATCCGCTCGGAATGGTCGTCGGTCCATTCTGGGTTCTAGTGGCCCTAGTCTGCCCACTAGAGTGTGCACATGGTGTCCGGTTCGCCGGCAGATGTTCAGTTCAGACGTGACTTATGTCACGACGTGGCTTATGTCACGAGATCAGTTATCAGTTACGTGACTTATGTCGCGAGTTCAGACCGGTATCAGATATCAGTTTCAGTTCAGTTATATATGCTTAGTTCATGATATTGTTATTATTTACAATGTTTTACATTAGTATGAGTTTCCACGGAGCACAGTGCCTTAGTCCTCACTCCCCAGTTTTATCATGTTTTTCAGGTCAGGATGTCGGGCCGGGAGCGTGACGTGACGTGACGGGACTTCAGGATATTTATATTTTGGACTGTATAATTGTGATTATGACTTACGCTTCCGCTTACAATACTTTGATGACTTATGATGTTTTGATGTCTTTTGACGTACTCGTTTGATGAACTTATTACTTTTGACGAGCTTTTAAGAAACTTATGATTTCAGTAACCGAACGTTTTTATTAAATTAAAACAACGGTTTTTCTAAATTAAGTCACAATTTTTAACAGGTAGCACCCCGAATCAGTTTTCGCAAAGTAAAAAGGGTTTTATTTTTAATAACTTTGCGAATCTTAGCGCACTCTGATTTTACAGTAAGGAGGGGTGTTACACTTGCGCACGTTCTAGCAGCAACCCCCATGGCATCGCGACGACCATCCACGGCGTGAACCCCGAAAACGCGCCGAGCACGCCATCACGACGGCGCAAGGATCGGCGCGAGGAGCGGCACACACACGAGCGGCATGACGAGGAACGGCGAAGCAAAGGCCACGAGTACGAGGACGAGTCTGACCAGCGATCGCAGGCATCCAATTATCGAGAGCGGCCAAGGTCCGACAAGCCCAAGTTTGTGATGTCCACATTCAAGGGTAGTGATCCGGAGGCTTGGCTCAACCGAATTGCGCAATATATCGAACTCAACGAAACCGAAGGCCATGATCGAGTAAGGTACGCAGCATTCTATATGGATGGTGAGGCCAATGTATGGTGGCAATGGCTCTCCGGGATCTACCATAAGCGGCAACAGATCATTACATGGGCTGACTTTGAGAGGGAATTGCTCACACGCTTTGGTACGTCCGATTACCATAACTACAATGAGGCTCTCGCTCGAATACGCCAGACAGACAACTTGCGCGAATACATCAAGGAGTTTGAACGCCTTGCCTGCTGCGTACGAGATTGGTCCGAGGATGCACTAGTGGGAGCCTTCATAGGTGGGCTGAAATTCGATCTAGCCGCAGAAGTCTGAGTGGAGCTGCCAGACACGATGCACACAGCCATGGAGGTAGCCCGACGCCACGAAGACCGTCTGGTTGCAACGCGAAGGGGACGGGCGGACGGCCGATTCACCGACAATCGACGCACGGGCCCGATCTAT